CAATAATACACAACCACACAAGCACTGATTATCAGAACTGGAATCTTTGCTCTTTTGGATTAGTCAAGCCTCTTCATTTTACTGCTGCATTACAGTGGTTCTTGCTGGCTCATTGACACTTTTTTCTCCTAAATGATTCTTGGTTGCAGTTGCTGGCCTTAAGAAAATGGCAGCAAAGTAGCATTTGTTGAGCTGGTATTTTTACAGATATTGATATAACTCATTTCAGGTCAGTACCAGTTTCTGGAATGCACAAGTTTCCCCCTGAATTCTGCCCCCCTTATGGAAAAGAACTATGCTGGGTTCTAGCCACCCTTACCAACATATTTCATCTCCATCTGAAGCATTACCACCATGGTCAGTTTAGTGGAGCTCTTATTCACATACTGCTCTTTGCTTACCATGGCCATTCACCCTTCTTGACTAGCATGAACCTGCCGCTCCAAAGAGAAACTTTTACCTTCAGATCAGGAGAATTTCTGCCTGTCATAACTAAGGCCCCTGCATGCCTATGAGGGAAACAATTTACTAATCTTTATCTGATCCAGGTAAGTGCCCCGCCCCAAAAAAACAAACAAAGGGTAAACTTTAACCAGACTCCACCTCCAAATAAGTACCTTCTCTAATTTCTTAGGTCCAATCAGCCAAACTTATCATCCCTATAGCAACCATCCTGTGCTAGAGGGGGTTTGTCTGTCAAACTGTAAACCCAATTTTGAATTAGGGCCTCCATTTTGTATTATGTGCTCAACACATGCCAAAGGCAAATCACTTTGATTTATTCCAGAAGGAACCCTGCCCAATAAAGATGCTTGATACCTCATTGAAGAAGCATCATAGAGGAGACATCACTGAGCAACCTAGACCCATCAACTTTGATTGTATCTCAACTCCTCCCCCCATCAAAACAAAGCTTTTTCTATACAGGGGCATCAACATGACTGGTCTCCACCTTCTCAGCCTGAGCACATGACAAAAAGAGACAAAAGCTGTACTTAAGAAGTGGTGCCATTCTCTGCAAGGGAAGCCAACCATGGCCATGTATAAGTGGCACATGTAGGAGAGAAGAAGAAAGGAATGCCTGAAATATAGACATGCCCCACACTCACAGAATGCGTAAAACACCCTCTCCTGGTCTGATATCTCAATACTTTTTTGTTATTTTGCAAAGTTCTGTAACTGTCAAGTGTAACTCTTAAGAGTACAGACATTGTGGTTAAGAACTTCCTTTGCTAAGCCTGTTACTTGTTTTCCTGCCATATTGTCCTCAAAAGGAGTTAAACTAGAAGCCAGAGTTCCCACAGTGAGACATAACTCTGAAGGAGCACATGTAAGCAAGTAGGAGACTTGGGAGATCTAAAGCACTTGTACCAGGGTCTGGGACAGCTGGACTGCTCAGTCCCATGTCACAAGGAAGGGCTCTGACAAGAGGTCTGAGCCTGCAAGTGTGTCCTATAGATCTAGACCTAGAAAGATGACTAGACTCTGCCCAGACCGAGTTGACTTAGAAGCATATGGGACACAGTGGACGGGTCCACTTACAACAGACTGTTGCCATACACAGAGTATGTCCTCTCTCGCCACGTCCTCTTAGTGACATCATTATGGGGGGGAACCAACAATGACCAGTAGTAACAAAACCTCACATGTTGCTATTGCTGCCTCTGATGGATAGGGTGTGTATCTCTCTATCAAAGGGTCTTATACCTTGCAGGGCCAGGGTCAAGACATTTGGGAAACATGGGGAAGTCACAGGCAGGGGACTTGTATAAACCCTATGGGTGGTATTTGTAAAAGGCTTCAGCCTTAGCCTAAGACTGCTCCCAATGAAGTCAAGCCTCTACACAGCCTAAATCTCCCAGCATTTGCAGCATAATTGACTGATTGAGCCTGCCTGAGCTAATTCAACTCTCTCAGGGCCAGTGTGAGTAGTATACCCATCACGCTACTGTAATAGTGCTGTCCAGTATAACTGATTATAGAGATTAGTTTTAACAAGATAATGTTAAGGCTGATAGCTTTAAGACAGATATAACATATTCTGCTATTTTCGAACTTTTCATGCAAATTATTTTGACATTGCCTTACATAAACTTTATACAAGGAGAACATGGAAAGATCATTAATTACCAACTTACTTTATAAATCATACATGAGACAAGCAAAATGCAATTGCCCCCGGGGTACACAAATTATGTTCTTTTAAAGATTTATTTTTCTTTGAGAACAATAAGTCATCCTTAATAAATGTCAATGCACTGATGTTTTTAACTGAAAGGCAGACAGCATTGTAAAGTATGTCCTACACAGGGGATTATCTGTATATTAGATTATTTTTCCTTGATGCTTTTCCAGTCATTAACTTCTGTGGAGAAATAGAAATGTAATTTTGTTCTTGACAGCAAAGGGCTACTTTTGACCAATTGACCATTTTTTCCTGCAAGGAAAGGAACTTTAATTTAACTTCAATATCTCATCCACTGTGTATTTCAATAGAAGAGATCATGAGTAGTCATTTTACAAGAGTTGTGTGTACTAGGTTATGACTAAAAATATGCAGCATCTGCAGAGGATATAACTGATGTAATGAGAAGTGAATTCAGCTCACTCCATTAATATATACGTGGTAAGTTAGGCTTTTAAACAGGTGTTTCTTGCATTAGCATTTATGGGACTCTTTCTATAATTTTCTATATAAACTCTATAAATTTGTTTCCATTTCTGTGAACTCAGACACAGAATGCCATATACAGTTTGAAAATGTGTGTGTCCTTTATTAAGGCAATGGGAACAAGCATAAATATAATAGAACAAAAACCTTAGACCAGGGGTAGGCAATCTATGGCATGTGTGCCAAAGATGGCACGCAAGCTGATTTTCAGTGGCACTCACACTGCCTGGGTCCTGGCAGGGCCGGCGCAACCCATTAGGTGACCTAGGCAGTCGCCTAGGGCACTACAATTTTGGGGGCGGCGACCGTGGCAGTATTTCAGCGGTGGGACCGTCCGCCACCTCTTTGGGGGGCAGCATTTCGAGGTGGGACCTTCCGCCGCCTAGGGCAGCAGAAAAACTGGCGGCGCTCCTGGGTCCTGGCCACCGGTCGGGGGGGGCTCTGCATTTTAATTTAATTTTAAATGAAGCTTCTTAAACATTTTAAAAACCTTATTTACTTTACATACAACAATAGTTTAGTTATATATTATAGACTTATAGAAAGAGACCTTCTAAAAACGTTAAAATGTATTACTGGCACGGGAAACCTTAAATTAGAGTGAATAAGTGAAGACTCAGCACACCACTTCTGGAAGGTTGTTGACCCCGACTTAGACTTTGATCCAAAGTCCCTGGAAGTCAACAGCCGTCCTTCCATTTGGCTTATATTGAGTAAGGTTGTCTAAAATGGACACCTTCATCCCCATCTCACTGTTCGCATATTCCATTAAATCCCTTTTTACTGTGTTTTACATAAGCATATTGATAGTCTTTGCAAAGTGAGCAGCATCAAATGTATGGGCTGACTGATTAATGTTTAGGTGAAATCCCAAATCTATTTAGCATGTTCAAGCACATACTTTCAAGCTTGTCTGCCTTCAAGAAGCAACTATATACTCCACAGGAGAAAATACCCATAAAAAAGTAGTTTAGTGTGAAAGATTGATAATGGGATTATTGCTCAGACACTCAAAGCTTGATATTTGATATCCTATCAGCCTTTCATTTGTAAGGAAAGCACAATTGTCCTAGCCTGACATGTTTATCATTGCAAAGCTGAGCCAGTTATCTAAATGTGATAGCTCCTTGGTTTGATAATATTCTATCATGTCTATGGCAATTCATGCAGAGCAGGTTAGTGCAACTGTAAATCAAAAGTACATTTCTTATGGTGACTTCTGCTTCTTAGAATACTTCAGTATTTCAATTCAAGAAGCCTTTTCTCTAAACGGATACATCTGGCATGATGTGATTTTTTTTTTCAGTATAGGAAAAGTATGTCTCCCCTGTGTTTAGATTTTTCTCAAAGAACCTGTTTTTAACTACAGACCTAGAAAACATAATTTTTAGTATATATACACACATTCTTCATACATACATCTCACAAGAGTTTTAACGACCAGTGTGACACAGGCTTTCACTAGAGCTCTTATATGACATTGTTTTGGTGAATTCAGTGGATCTCTGTACCCAGATATACCCTAGTGCCTTCGGCCAGTTGGCATCCAGAGGTTCTTGAGTCACAGAGTATAACTGATTAACTCACCAAAAACTAGCACTACTTTATTCTTAATCAACTCCTACTGTATGTCTAACAGAGGCCTTCCAATAGTAGGTGATTACAATATGGAGGGCCACCCAACCTGGCATAGATTTACAGTGCTTTCTCACTGAAGTAAATAGAGTGGTATGGGATAAAATTTAATTGAGATTTTGTGCCCATATTTTTGTAATCCATAAGAATTACATAACTACATAGAATTAGTTAAGATTTGAGTTTCAAGCTCACCTCTGAATTTCCTCTCATTTGCACATTTGAATCAAGTTGAATCAAAGTACACCTCTACCCCGATATAACACGATCCGATATAACACGAATTCGGATATAACGCGGTAAAGCAGCGCTCCGAGGAGGCGGGGCTGCGCACTCCGGTGGATCAAAGCAAGTTTGATATAACGCAGTTTGACCTATAATGCAGTAAGATTTTTTGGCTCCCGAGGACAGCGTTATATCAGGGTAGAGGAGTAGTGGCTTTATAAATGCATGGATCATTTTAAAATGACATCTCAATCTAACACAACAATAAATACTAATAATTGTTTTTCCCTCAGGACTAAAATACACAAAGCCACATATATCACAAGCTGTTAAATTCAATTCCTACTCAACAGTCATTTAACAAAAAGCATTTGTGACCAAAAAAAAAAAAAAAATCACAAAACGCACAGTCTCTGTATGATTCAGATTGAATAAAAGCGGCTACATGGTATCAAAGAAAATCTCTTACCTGGAAACGGTGAAGTCAAAACTGGTATTTTGACAGGTGACAGAGTGAGCACATGGCAAGGTTGGATACTTGTAGGTGATGGTCCCTGAGTTGCTTCTGAATCTACGGACACCATGGCAGCTGCTGCTGCAGCAGCAGCTAATGCAATTGTCTGATGACTGCCCACTTGTTTAAGGCTATTCTGGCAACCACCTATGGAAGAGTTAAGTAAAATTTGTTTTATTTTACATTTGAAACAAATATTTGTTGGCAAGTTAAGACACACACTCTATAAATAATACTGTTTTTCAATCTTCCTATATTACAATATAAGAAGACACCAAAATGTCTTTATTATTATTGCAATATTAGTAGCTTAGTCCTCTACTGGCTGCACATCCAGCCATCCAACTTAATTTAATAGGACATCAAGATGCATCAGAATTCTATGTTAATACACTGGAGTGTTAGGTGTCATTTTACACACTATAAAGTTGCTTCACATGCTGACTCACCCAAGGTCACAGAATGTGTCTGGTTGAGCCAGTAATTGAACCCAGATTTCCCAAGTCCCCAGGGAGCACCTTGTCCACCAGACACCCCTCCACCCTTAACTCATAGCTTTTGTACCATAGACTGCTTTTTGTGTTATAAATGTCCCTGTATAGTACATTTTTAAAAACAAAAAAAATGTTTTCATGCTTTCAGATATGGGTTCTAACATAAAGGAATGGTGATTTGTGCATGATTTGAAAACATCATGTATATTGTAACTTATCTATATAGTTACCACAATCATGTGAAGAGCTCTGGATGGGGGTGCACAATAGTAGCAGCTGCTGGCACTTACCCCATCTTTGACCTAGGGGAAAGTGAACTGAACCATGAAGAAACTAAGAATTCTGGTCTCACTGAAAGGTGTTAGTTCTGTATACTTTACTGTCCTTATAACTGAACAAGGTCTCACACCCCTATCTTATAAAAGCAGACAAGTGTCATATACCCATTTTACAAATAAAGGAACCAAGAGGTAACATGAGGTCCCTTCTGGCATGGCTGTGAATAGAACCCAGGTATCTAAAATGGCAAGTCTCGTCCACTTCGCTATGCTACTTTTTAGGATGAACGTGCTAAATCTTTGTACTGGGGTGTGATATCTGTAACTACTAGGTCACATTACCATCAGAACTAGGAACAGAATCCTGCATGGGCTCTACCTTCCAGCATTTCCTGACGTTTGATTTTGCAATCGAACCATTTGTATATTTTTTTAATATTACCTATATCTATAGGACTATTCTCCTGTAATTATAGGCATGTAATTGCCATCAATGATACCAAGTTGCATGTACATAGAAGCCCTGCCACTGGAAGCACTCTATCCACAGAGAACCGCCTGATTTAAATGGGACTTCCATTGGGCCTGAAGAGAAGAATGTACCTCGTACTATGTAACATTTACCTTTAACGTATAACAAGCTTAGGGGAAGACCTTTAGAGCTCAATCACGTCTAAGTATGTTAAATAAACAAGAAAATGAGTAGTAAAAATCCTAAGAAGGAAACCTAATTTGACAAACACCAGCTGTTACCCTCTCTACACTGAGCTATGTATTCAAAAATTAAGCAATCATTAGCTTATTATGTCATTTAGCAAATGTTTTCAGTTCATGTGGAAATCCTTTAGGCAATAAGAGCCAACTGGTAATTCTGCAAAAATCACTATTTGATCAGAGCTGTCACTTTAGGCATTTCACAGGTTTATAGCATTTCTTTTTCCAAATGAGTTTGGAGACTAAAGGAACCCTTAGGGCCAGATCCTGGTACCTCTTGTGGCCATTTCCCACCTGCCTACTGACATAAACCACTTGAAGAGCTGGCAGATGTGGCTATCTAGGGATTCCTCTGGCATGGGAGAACCTCTCCTGGCTATATTAGGCTATACCTCTCCTGCCCCCAGTGGAGGGGGCTTGGCCAAGATAAAAGGGGAAAGGTCAGTGCCCCCTGTGTTCTGGTGATTTCTGGCAGCTAGAAGAGTCCCTTACATCCATGTATAGCTCACACAACTTGGAACAGTCCAGAGGCTGCTTTGTGTTGTGCATTATGGCTAAGTGGCCCCCAAATCAGAGGACATGAAGGTGGTCTTATACCACCACCCTTATGCCCCACTCCACCACTGAGCTGGGTACAGAAGGGTCAGATCTGAGACTCAGACCCTTGGTTCTTTCTATACTCCAGTAGATTTCTAAAAAGGTAAAGTAAACCAGCGGCCAAATTTAACACAGGCATAAGAGGAGTCATTCCACTGAAGTCAACAGAATTGTGAATGTTTTGAATTTAGCTAAACAGGAGAGTGGGTTGTGTGGGTAAAGAGATTTCCTTTAGTATCTATATTTCCTAAGCTTACACTTACTTCCCTCTTTATTAGTCTTTGTTTGCAATGCAGATGTAAGCAAAATATTTTGCCAGAAAAATAGGCTTTACAACATTAGTAACACATACCAAATGTATACAGTAGTCATTTCAAGTAATTTCTATTATTCCTGACGTTATTGTCAGTTCTAAGATATTTTCTATTAAAAAACAAAACAACAAAATAACAACCACATGTAAGCCATATATAAGCACATGTCCTTGTTAGTACAACAAGCACATAGGCCAGAGAAACACTAGCAAACACGAATACAAAGTCTTTGATATTTCAACCTGCAACAAATGAAAGAAAGATAGATTACATCTACCAGGGCCAAAATGGAAATATTCAAAAATGGCAAGTCAAACCATCTGATGACAATGATTTTGTTATTTCTAACATTTCCTTCTGGGATCTCATGGGCCTATGGGTTAAGTTAATCAAATCCTCATCAGTAGTCTGCCCTTGGATAGAGAGTCTGTGTTTCCAATTCCAGGGTTTTTCTGCTGTCACCAAACAAAATAAAAAAAATATCCTGTAACTGTTCATGGACTCTGACAAAGTATATAAAGAAAAGAGACTCTTCTACGTTTCCCAAAAGGCTGTTATTAAGCAGGGAGAATGTTCTCTTCTAGCTTGATTTTTTTTTAATTAAAAAAGGATTCTGCAACATAAAGATACAATTCTCAACATGGGTGAAGGAAAGGAACAAAACAACAGTATAGGAACTAGAACAGTGGGCAAAGTAAGCTATGTCATCATCTTCTTAGCATATGCGCAATGTGCCTCAGATGGCATGTGACCAGAATTATCACCAAATTTGGTCCGCTGTTTGGATCATTAGTACCCAGCCTGGGCCAGGGAAGCTAACGGGGAGTGTGACATGAATGCTGATCCATGCCCCCCAGCCTTGCCATGAGCACATGTGGGTGAAATTAGTGAAGTGCTAGAAGTTTTCAGGACTTGAGCCCTTTGTTACCATTTCACCAATCAATTAATAAAGTTTTGGTGATTTCCCTGCCTTTGATGGAGTGTACTCTCTCTCTCTCTGGACAGTATTAAATCATTCCTGGAAGAAAGGGCATATCTAAGGATCCTAATACATCGTTCAGATAAAACTTTCTTCTCTGGAACATATCAGATTGTGCCAAATAGCAGATATTTTCAAAACGTTTTCTTAGAACCACCACTATAAGGTCAACACTCAGATACTTCAAAAGTTGAATAATGTTCTACACTATCATCAATATATGTCTGAGAAACAAAGTCTAATGCTTTTCAGTGATGTTCACTTCTAAGAAGTTGGGGTTTTTTTTAACCTAGAGATGCTTGCTTATCACAGAGGATTTCTATTTAAGTGTGAAAACACATTAATATGTTGCACAGTTCTTTACAAGCAGACATCCACCATCCTGCTACAATATGTTTACCACAGGTTAAGGGGAAAATATTTGTGGGAGGCTTTTGTTAAAAATGATGGCAGCACACTTATGTGTGAAATAACTGAGGAACAAGATAGCAGGGGTAGCCATAAAGACATGAACAAGAAAGGACAAGAGAATCAACCTAAGATTAAAGAAAACAGGGGAGTAGGTAGATAACCCAGGTTCCACAGCAGCAGGGCCGGCTTCAGGCACCAGCTTACCAAGCAGGTGCTTGGGGCGGCCACTCCGGAAAGGGGCGGCACGTCCAGCTGTTCGGCGGCAATTCGGCGGACGGTCCCTCACTCCTGCTCGGAGCGAAGGACCTCCCGCCGAATTGCCGCCGCAGATCGCGATCACGGCTTTTTTTGTCTTGTTTTGTTTGGCTGTTGGGGCGGCCAAAACCCTGGAGCTGGCCCTGCACAGCAGATACCATTTGATCCCCAAACATCCATTATATAAGCAACTACATGGTAAAGTGTCTAGACACACAGCAGCCTAAGACTAACTGTTTCTGTTAGACCCGCTTCTTCATTCTCTCACAGGGTTATCTATGTAGTTTTGGGATTCAAGAATTGTCCATGCTTTCCTATTCTTGACTCATGTGCCTCATGTCCATCTGACAGTTCAGACATCCTGAAGTTCTTACTACAGTGCATGCATGGTGTGTTTAAAGAATGAACCACTACTAAAGACCTACAGGAATAACCAGCCTGAGGAGCCACACTAGAGCATACCACAGATTGTGCTCTATTTAGGTCCTGAATTATCCCATTTTTTCTCTTCCACAATAGCATACTTTTCCCATTCACATTGACTTTGTCCATGACATACAGACAATGAAACAGGATTCTGTGCTGCTCTTTTGTCTGCCCAATGTCCTCCCCAACCGCATGTTCCTTTTATGACTTCTTTCTCTGCAGCCACAAAGGACATATCAGAATGTGCTCTCTCATTATTACTACTATTAATAAACAGTTAAAACCATTACATTTCTTCTCTAGGATCAACAAAACGGGCTGTTTCTTTTCTTTAACAAAACAGAAATAAGGATTTTGGATGCCACTGGAATTTACAGGGTCAGTCCTATCTGAAGAGGGCAATTCCAGCTCTTCTTTTTAAAAAAAAAAGTTCTTTGTACTATAGAATCTCACTGTGCAAATTAACTGATTAAACTCATTTTAAAATGTTCTGCAGTTTTACAGGCTTTTTTTTCTTTTTTCTTTTTTTTAATTCTGCCTACAATGGACTTTTATAAAGATCTTTCCCATAAGATCTACAGAAAAAAAATTAAAACAGCAAAATCAAGTCATCCACAAAGGAAAGTAAATTCTGTGATTGCATCAACCAGCAGAGGTGCTGGAACAATTTTTATGGTGG